CTAAGCAAGATTCAAAACAATAATCAGTCTGCTCCCATTTAAGTTTTTTTCTGTATATACAATCCTAAATATATACAGAAATTTTCTGAAATTATACCTAAGAAATTACTAACAATGGAAGAACATTGAAGTGGTCTTGGTTGTAAGGATCACTCAGTTTTCACTTTATGTCCTATGTAGCATTTGAAAATTTTGTCATGGGACTGTATTACTTCCAATAAACAATGTTTTTAAAAATTGCTTTAATTCATTATTATAATATTTATTGAGCTGAACTGTCTTGAAATTCATTGAGTTCTAGACACTGAATTAAACATTTCCCAATGGTACCAAAAATTGGAGAAATTCATATAAATAAATGTTTTTGTTTTTGTTTTTGTTGGAGACAAAGTCTTGTTCTGTCACCCAGGCTGGAGTGCACTGGCATGATCTCTCCTTACTGCAACCTCCACCTCCTGGGCTCAAGCAATCCTCCCACTTCAGCCTCCTAAGTAGCTGGGACTACAGGTATGTGCCACCATGCCCACCTGAGTTTTGTATTTTTGGTAGAGACAAGGTCTCACTACGTTGTCCAGGATAATCTCCAACTCCTGGGCTCAAGCAAGCCACCCGCCTCAGCCTCCCAAAGTGTTCGGATTACAGGCGTGAGCCTCCACCCAACCTAAATCAATGTTTTCAATTAAATATATACTAAAACCAAAACTTAGCTCTGTAGTTTTATTGTCATGAGTATATATTAAGCTTATACTAAAAAATAAAGCACTTTTTAAAGAAAAATTATTAAATTTTTCCTCTGAAAGCCTACTTCAAAAAAACTCCATGTGAACAATTACACAAATAATGATTTAGCCCTAGAACATTTGTGAAGTTGCTCTATGAGTACATCTGTTAGAGAGTATATTTTTCTGGAGGTAGTTAATATATATTGAACATCAAGTTTAAATTTTCCCTCCAATTTGATGCACCAAAATCATTGTGACAAATCATTTATTTTTAGTTATATTTTCTTAGTAT